TTTTTTTTTTTTTTTTGCTTCGAAGAATATGAATTTTTCTTTCTTTCTTTTATACGACGAAATTCACGAAGAAGTGAAGCAGGAGATTTTGTTATTCTTGGCTACAGTTGAATTTTTTTTAACAAGTTTTTCACATACATCACCATTGATTACACTTTACGATCGTAATTTTTGTTAACAAGTTACGTTACTCACGGGCGTAATTTTCGAGAAGTGTATTATTTTTTACCGAGTCATATTTTGAACCTTTATATTTTATGATCGATATTTGACATCTTGCAAAATATTTTATTCGGATAAAATTATCTATGATTAATTAGAATTAATCTTTTTCCTATAATAAATTCACTCTAATTATACTTTGTTATATTAAATAAGCAGAACAGTTTTTGCATAATGTTTGGTTTCGAAGAATTCATAAGCTAACTTTTCATTTTATCGACTTTTAACTCGAGAAAGAATTTTATAAATTATTTCATCATATCCACTAAATCATTATTATATCAAATATCTACTAATTCTATGAAAGATGCTATCACGTGGTATCAAAGTTAAACGAATTCAGTTTTAATAGCAAAATGATTAATGAATTCCTCCATCGAAGTCGAGCATCACATCACACTAAAGACTCATGCACAACCAAAAATATAATCTTCGCAAAGCACAAAAGAATTATTTAAAAGTTATCAAAAAGAGATACTAACAAGATTGGCATCTCATTTGATATCCCTATAATCTTCAGGAAAAGATCACTCTTTTAAAGAAAGAGGAACACCATGAACACTCTCATAACAGAACTATAATCTTGACAAACCATAAAAAAAAAGATCATTCTCAAGAAAGTCTAGAACGATTAAAACACTAAAAAAAGACACTCGTAGCTTTCACCCATTGCATTGAAACGTTTCATCGCTGTTCACGACACCTGTACAACGCAACACACTGACAAACATTGTTCCCCCCGAACACAGCCAAGGCGGCCCTGCAATTCGAGTCGCAGCACGAGAGCGCGTTGTCGAAGATCCAAATACTGGAGGACAGTAGCAGGTATCAACGGCAAGAAGAGGAGGAGATCGTTGTAAAGGAGAAACCGTCGTTCACGGTCCAACTGAACGGGCCTACCAGCTTAGTCGAGGGGCAAAGCGCACACTATGAGTGCCGCATCGAGCCCTATCCCGATTCGAGTATGAAGGTGGAATGGTTCCACAATGGGAAACCATTGTCCACCGGTCACAGGTACCGAACGACCTGCGACTTTGGATTCGCTGCGTTGGACGTGCTCACGGTATATGCCGAGGATTCAGGCACCTATACCTGCCAGGCCACCAATAGACTGGGATCGGCGAAGAGCTCGATCAATCTCGACGTGAAATGTAAGTAGTCGGAGGTGAAACGGAGACGAGGATCACCCTCGAGGATTTTCCACGCTGTGTAAGTCATTGAGTCAGTGGTGGCGTAGAAGTATCGTGATTATTTTTAATGTTGTACACTTGCTGTTGCTGCGTATCAATATTACTCTGTAGAAATTATTCAAAATATCATGACTGTCTGACATTCACATTACATGAAACGTGATGTGAATTGCTTGTTTGCGTTTCAACATAAAATCTTATTTCTGAGAGATACAGTCATTGACAGTTAGAGTTAGAGAAGATTATTCAATTTCAATTTCTATTTCTTTGTAATATTGTAAACGTTATATTGGCCTTTATATATTTAAATTATATTTTGATAAAAATTTAGGTAGAATCCTTTCAAATATCATTCTACAATATCTATTCAGCATCCAGAAATCTCAACTTTCTATCTGTGAAAAAATAGTTCCAAAAGAATCAAGAATCTCCCGAAGAGAC